ATTCAGTAAACATTCAGTAAAAGGTTTTATGGTGTAATGTGTCATAAATAAAATACTATATATAAATAATTTGAATTAAAAATAATGAAAATAGTTTTTACAGTTTTAAAAATTATTTTCAAAAATATTATATTTTTGCATTTTTGCAAAAACATTGGTTACTACCAGTTTGTATTTGTGTTTTGGCTTCATAAAAAACAGGATTGGATAATGGACATTTATTATTAAAAAAAAAAATAGTTGTGATGCGTGTTGATAAAAAAAAGTCATTATTGTGTTAGGTGACCATATTTTTTAAGTCAAAACCGCGATGGCAATTTTTAGCTATGCTAATCCGGAACTAATGATTTTTAAGGATACAGTAAAAAAAATAGTTTTTTTTAGAACTTCAGAACTTCATATTCGATTATATGTAATTCTTTTTTATTTATATTATGTTACATCTTATAGTTTTCGATCTGTATTTTTTCGCTTTGAGCCCTGTATGAAATTCTATTCAATTTTCTTCATAATTAATTAAAAAACTAGTTGGGTGTATGGCATTGTGCCTTAAGGCAAATTGCTGGAACTTCCCGTACCGTAACGAAATGTTCGAGGAATACTGAATGTTTTGAAATAGATTATTATTAATATTGTAACATTGTCTAATATTTATAAGAATTATATAAACTGAATTGCAAAGTCGTATATTAGAACTTTAGTCAGAATTAAAAATAAAATCTGAATTATTTTCGATATACAAAAAAAAATATTTTTTTTGAAAAAAAAAATTTAAAAAAAAAATTGAAACAAAATTTTTTTTCAAAATCAATTACTTTGTTAAAACAAGCAGAAAGTTCTTTGAATCATTCAAATCGGACGCTTAGTTCTCTCAAAAACTGCAATTTTTTGCACATTTAGCTCTATATCTTTGAAATGGCTGGGCCTGCCTTTGCCAAAGTCTGATAAACACTTTTCCCAATCATTACTAATTGAATGTTTTTTAGAACATTCAAATCGGATGCTCCGTTCTCCCAAAAACTCGATTTCTATTTTCTGCACACTTTGCTCTTTATCTCCGTAACTGCTGGACCTGCCTTTGCCAAAAACTAATCAGCTCATCTCCCTATCAATAGGAATCGAATGTTTTTTGAATCATTCAAATCGGTTCATCCGTGCGCCCGAAAACGTGACTGGAATTTGTATCCATACATACATACACACACACATCCATTTTTTCTGAGGTATGCCAAAATGTTCAGAAACCTTCAAAACGTCGAAAAATATAAAAAAAATTAATTTCGATTTTCGGCCCAAAAGGGAAGTTAGAAATAGCACTTGTTCGTCTGTTCTCATATTTTTTGTTAATTTACCTAGTATTACTTATTAATTTCGGCACAGCAGATATTAAACCCGGGACAAATATTGATTTTAGATTATGCCCATATATTAGATTATGGACATAAGCTGGAAATGCGGGACATGGTCATCTTATGGTCATCTTATATTTCTGTCAAAAATCCTATGGAACCACAATGTATTTTGTCTTATCAATTTTTAACAGTATGAATACATCTCTAATTTATTTGTTTGCTGGTCGATTATTTCATTCGAATTTGTCACTTATAGTATGTTTTCCGTACCACAAGCCCTCATCTTTTCAACCTGTATCGGTCAGTTGCCAGTATAGGAAAGTACGGTCGGCGTTAATCTTTCGACGATCAACAAGTAAATATTTGTTCTTCACAAATCCACTTAGAAGCATATATGATGTAGTTTGTTGTATTTTATCTGAATAATTTCATCTCACTTACATTGTACCATTCCCACACAAGCGTGAACTTTCTCGAAGAAGGCGAACTGCGAGTGTGTCCTGCCGTTATCAAGCAGTCTGTTTACGAACGACGGGCGGCCGGGTAACTTTCACTCACTCATAGTCAGTCAGTCAGTGATCGGATCGCATCTTGCTCTTGCTCGGAATATATTTTCCGTCTCTTACATCAGGTCCGCCGGACCAGATATGTCTGAAGTCGAAATCGAAATCACGATTGCATCATAGGAAGTGAATACTCACGTATGCAGATCTATACCAGTGTTATTAGAGCAGAATTCGTAAATTAGAAATTTTATTTCTAAATTAATTTCAGGTTATTGACCATATTCGTACACGCGTTTATTAGAAATTGTATACGCACACAAATTTTGTCTAACAAATCTTTATAAATTATGGAAATGATTTATGCAGATAAATTTATAAAATTTAATTAGTTGCACAAGAATGTATAAGTTCTTTTATATCGTTTATTTATTTATTTTTAATAAGAAAAATTTAATACAAAATATTCGAAAGTTATATTTACTTATAATTTAATTGCAAAATGAGTTCATAATTAACTTCCCGTAGGGTAAGTTATTGTAATCGTCCAAAAATCGAAATCGAAATTTTTTGCATTTCTCGACGTTTTGAAGGTTTCTGAACATTTTGGCATACTTCAGAAAAAATGGATGTGTGTGTGTATGTATGTATGGATACAATTTTTGTCCACGTTTTCGGGCGCACGGATCAACCGATTTGAATGGTTCAAAAAACATTCGATTCCTATCGATAGGGAGATGTGCTGATTAGTTTTCGGCAAAGGCAGGTCCAGTAGTTACGGAGATAAAGAGCAAAGAGTGCAGAAAATAAAAATCGAATTTTTTAGAGATCGGAGCATCCTATTTGAATGATCCCAAAAACATTCAATTCGTAATGACGGGGAAAAGGGGTGATTAGTTTTTCGCAAAGGCAGGTCCAGCGCTTTCGGAGATACAGAACTAAATGTGCAAAAAATGGCAGTTTTTGAGAGAACTACGCGTCCGATTTGAATGATTCCAAAAACTTTCTGCTTGTTTTAACAAAATAATTGATTTTGGAAAAAAAATTTACTTCAATTTTTTTTTTTTTAATTTTTTTTTTTCAAAAAAAAATTTTTTTGTATATCGAAAATAATTCAGATTTTTATTTTAATTCTGTTCTAATATACTTTGAACAAATAATTTCAACTATGCAATTCAGTTTATATAATTCTTATAAATATTAGACAATGTTACAATATTTATAATAAACTATTTTAAAACATTTAATATTTCTCGATCATTTCGTTACGGTACGGGAAGTTCCAGCAATTTGCCTTAAGGCACGATGCCATAAACCCTACTAGTTTTATTTTTAATAACAAAAATTGAGTATAAAATATTCGAAAGTTATTTTTTTTACTTATAACTTAATTGCAAAATAAGTTCATAATTTACATTTTTTTTAGAAATTTGATATTGACATTTGTGGCAGTTTAAATATTTATCAAAATATTTATAAAAATATTAAATGAGATTATACACGCTTTTTAGCGACTCTATTTCTGCTATTAATATATTTACTACGGTTATAAAACTTATTAAATATAAAAGAATATACACATGTTTAACTTCCCGTAGGATAAGTTATAATAATCGCAAAAAACGAAAATATTTTTTTATATATCTTTACGTTTTAGACTTTCTGAACATTTTGGCACACCTTAGGAAAAATGGATGTGTGTATGTATGTATGTAGTATACATGTGAGTATGTTTGGATACAATTTTTCATCCACGATTTCGAGAGCACGGATCAACCGATTTGATTGATTTAAAAAACATCTGAAAAACAGGTCCAGCCGTTTCAAATCAATTCAAATTTATAAAATTCCTAATCTACTCCAGATATCTTCCCAAAAATAGTTCCCATCAAACGATCGAGTTTCATAACTAATTTGTCTGTCTTATCGTACACTAATAAGTCTTATTTGAACCTTAAAAAATGATATTGATAAGATATGATTGTAATTCGAACCGATCATGTCGGATATGATTGCACTCAAACAGTTTCGTGATGATAGCGGATGTAGTGTTTTATTATTTAGCCATGTTATCTCATGTAAACTTCCTGCAACCACTCATGTCTTTCTTACACAAAACGAATTACTACTGAAATGAACAACTGGAGATGTCTATTTTTATGATTCTCTACCGGGCGAGGGGTCAAACAATTTCAATTGAATTTTTTCATAGTACTCGTTCAATAAAATTAACCCTTTCGACTCGGATGCCGCCGCTCCGGCGGCATAGTCATTTTACCGTTGCGCTCGGATGCCGCCACTCCGGCGGCAAATCGTGTCGGCGACGACTCGTCGCAAACTAAACTTACATTTCATTTTTTTTTATTTTTTAAAAATTAATTTACTATTACATTCATTTATTGATTGATTTATTAATTTTATAAATAAATATATAACAAAATTAATTTATTAGCTCATGATCCCCATAATTCTAATAAAGATCTGTGAAGAAATGATTTTTCAAACAATATAGCATGGTTTTGAGTGCAATTTTTTTAAATTTTCAAAATTTTTTATTTTATTATCATAATAACTATATTTAAAAGCAATATAACCACATTTTGAAAAAATCCGATACAAAAAAATATTATAATATACTATAATATTCCGAGCGCAGCGTACCGACTGGCAGTCCGACTCCCGAATCGAAAGTGTTAAAATTTAGTAGAGATTTACTTATGTGCATTACAGCATGATACCAAAAATAATTGATATGATTTTGACAAGAATTAAAATTTGAGCAAATTTAAATCAAAATCGCTTCGATGTATAAGCAAAATTATCCATTCACTTCCATAACTGTGATAGAATGAAAAATTTAAGCATACTTTTCAGAACCCTCATTGTCGAAAAAATATCCACTAATTGAAATTTTTGCATTATTTTGTTATTTCAGTTAACAAAATTATAATCATATTTTACTTTGAATGATTAAATTTTATAAATAACTTTATAAATTTTATAAAGCTATGAGTTAAATTTGTATTCTATTTTTATTATAATAAATCTCTAATTCTAACAGAAATTCGAAATAAAGCATTAAAATTTATAATAAAGCTATAAAATACTTCAGTATATTTACTTATTATTATAATATCATTAACAGATGTCTCGAAAAGAAAATAATAAGACGAAGTCCTGTCAAGAGCAGCAAAAGAATTTGAAATTAGTACTAGTTGGAGATACAAGATCAGGAAAGACTTCCTTAGCTAAAAGGCACACCAGCAGCACATTCACAAATGTAAGTAAATACAAATTTGTAAAAGTTTATTTATTGTAGTATATAATATTTTTAAAGTCTTGTGAATAAATGACATCGATATTTTTACTTTAAAATCAATCAATTATGTATTGTCATTTAATGTATGCTTTAGAATCAATTACTACTAGCAATTATTTGACCTTAAAGTAAATGTAAACGGTTAGAATTTCCAATGTTTTTTTAAATAATCATTGTTAATCTTTTATACATAATGGCTTTGGAGTGGTATTTTGACATTATTCGTTTTGCTTTTTTTTCTTATTATTAGTGTTTATTAATTATATCACCGATGCTTCTATTTAGACTTTTTTTTAATAATTGATTGGTACAAAGTAAATTTTAAATTATGTATAGCAAAATTTTAAGGCCATTTTTATATTTAACTGTCTTCTGGTGATTTGATGATGTTTATTGATAATGATAGAAATATCTTGAAATATATCGTTGTTCTGATCCGTTCAGTATCGCTACTAATTGACACGCTGTTCCGTACAGCAGCGACATTCCGGCGGAAAACCCTATCGTGGCAAAATGTTAATATAAATATAATTTGCGAATAATTAATCAGCCTCAGAGTTGAAATTCCTTGTTGCGTGCAACCTGATATCAAGCAAATATCCATGGTCACTTAAAAATACATATCTTAAATATTTATTTTTAAGTGACTTTTAATAAAATTATGTAAAAAATTGAATACGACATCCATTGCCAAAAATATATAGCCAAAAAAATTCATTTATTTTAGAATTTATTTATTAGTTTAAATCTGTGCTTTAAAGCATTATTTAATATTTCGAATTTAATTTATTATTATTGCTGTATTATTTGAATTAGTTTTGAAAATCTCTAATTATATTTAAAAAAGTGTTTGGCATACAATTAAATTGAATTAGTGGTAATTGTGATTATTATGGAGAGAAATTTTGTTTGTTTGTCGATGATAATTAATTATTTTGTATAAAATGACGTGTCTGATCAGATTATTCAAAATTCTTGTTTAGTGAATTATTTCATGTCTATATTTAAACTCTTTAATGTATTTGCATGAAGAAAACTATTCCGACGTTATTGTATAAATGTTCATTCTACGAAAGATTGATAAAATGAATATTGTTAATATTAGAATGTACAAATAGACTTCATGTATATTTGTATTTTAGTGCTATATGATAAGGACTGAAATTTGTTTGAATTACAAAATACTCATATGAATGTACCAACGCACGTGCCGCGAAAGTCATTATATATATATATATATATATATATATATATATATATATATATATATATATATATATATATATATATATACAAATCATTCATCAGACACAAATCTGCATTCGTTAAAGTGTTAAATTAATAAAATTTATGCGTCTTGCATTGGTCATAAAAAGAATTAATGAAATTGCTTTGTTAAAAGATGTTTCTGATGTTCAATTTCCAATTCTTTGCAGAATCATGTATTTTTGGTCACTATCTAATCTTGTAATATACCCTATTCATGTGTTCTATAGTTTGTTGCATTTAAATTAAAAGTAAAGTTAAAAAAATTAAACTGTTATTACGATTTTTTTATTATAGTTTCAAATGTCCAATTGATAATTTGTATGTAAAGTTTTGATAATTGATGCATTTGTGAACGAATTGAATATATTTATATTAGCCTACTCAATTTTAACATGGTTAACATTAGCAGCTTAATATCAAGCAGTAGTGATATCAGAATATTACTTGGGATAATAGATCTAAACTATGACCAAGTGAGAATTCCTGGGTATTGCTTCAATAGTTCAATTACCATCCGATATATTTACTATTATAAATATATCTAATATAATCTCAACAGAGAGAGAATGGTGAACCCTGGGTACAGCGCTAGACTACTGTACTAACTGTACAACAATAACAGCAATTTATAGTTCCAAAATAAAAAAAATAATTGAATAAATAACAAAAAGCTTATTTAAAATTATTAATAAAAATTTCAAACTAATTATTATGACCTAGCACATATTATTTTTAATAATCTATTTGAAAACATTCAGTATTCCTCGAACATTTCGTTACGGTACGGGAAGTACCAGCAATTTGTCTTAAGGCACGATGCCATACACCCCACTAGTTCTCATAATATAATTGATTGATGATTCAATATATAAATTGCTAGAAAATAGTACTCTTCGAGAAATTTAAGCAACATGATAGAAATTTCATAATAAAAGTGTGACAATTGATAAGATATATTATTTCACAGTATGATTGGAAGTTATCAATTAATTGGATTACCGAATTATGTTCGAAATTCATCAAATTCTTTCCAAATCACTTGAATCAAATTGGATGCCGATTCTCATGTCAGATGTATAGATTTATGGCTTTTCGTAATTTATGTTGATTTTTGAATGTGTCTCAAATTATCTTGAGTATCTTCCTCCTATCTTAGCCCTGCGGTGGGTCTGAAATCCTTAGTCAAGTACTTGCCTTGCTAGTTCCATTCTTCTTGCAGACGACCCTCTGCTGGTGCCAAACATCCGTTCGCATCTTCAATTCTGTGAATTTTTCTCGGACGCCTTTTCTGCTACCAAATGCCGCGCATAATATATAATGATCGACCGTCGTTAGGTACATACTTTCACACCACTGTGTCAAACAGGGCAGATCAACATTTTTGTGTGTTATTATTTTCACACGTTTAACATTTATTGAGTTTTTTCCATTAGCCTTTGATTAAATATTCATCACTTTTGTGCCTAGAGAATTTAGTGATTTTAGATTTCGATTATTATTTATTATTTTTTTATATAGGGTAGAGCGGGGGCCTAAAGGTCCGCGGGTAAATAGGTCCACCACCGATATCTAAAAAACCAGTAAAAAATGTATAACCAGCTATCACCTGTTTGAAAATTCATAACAAACATATTTTCATTCGTTGTTAGTTTTTTTGGTTGTGAGCACTGTTGCTTAGTTTAAGATAACTTAATGTAATTTTTAAGTATGCGCTTTTTTTGTTTCATAAAATTCGTTGTTAATTTTAAGTAGATTCAACAGTTTTTTTTTATATAATCTCTAGTAAAGCGTACACCTGGGTGGGGTAAAAAAGACCCACCGAACTTTTACCCTGGAAAAGGTGTAGAAAATAGAAAATAGCAAATAGAAAAGAAAATTAAGTTAAAAAGCAATTTTACAAGTGATTTATTTATTTATTTATTTATTTATTTTTATTTATTTATTCATAAGCAAGCCGTAATCAATAATAATTATTTCAGGCTCTTGTCAAGCTTATTCATAGTTCATATTAAAAGGATACTAATTTTATAATAATCATAGTACCTGCACGAATTTCGATTCTGAAAAAAAGAGCTGAAAAAAAGCATTCGAACATTAAATACAATGTTCATCATCAAGTTCATCATATTAAAGTCTATTTGACCACCAGTCAAGCTCAAAATTCTTGCACAAGGTTGAAAGTTATACTCATTTAAAACCGTAAAAAATTTAAATTAATAAAATAGCAATAGAAAAATGAGAAAAAAAAAATAATGGTTGTACAGGCGATCAAATGGTCAGACTGCATAGATACAGGATAAGGATTATGCAAGAAAATAGTTATTGAATTCAAATTGAGAAAATTCAGTAATGTCATAAAAAGCTAAGTCTTTAAAAAGTTTAACTAGGGAAGCATGATAGATTAAATAGATAATTAATTTAACTCTGCTGATGAAAATTTTCAATTTTTGTAATATTGTCTCTTAGTTTAGTTATTTGCAAAATGGGAATGGGAGATAAAATATTTTAATTATGTATTTTTCTTGGAACATGATTATGTATATCTTTCCAATTACCATTGAGTTATTGACGCTCTAAATGTATTATTATTCTTCTCAGAAAGTAGAAGAGTAACGCACATAATTCAGCCATATGATATGAAGATATATTTACTTATTAATTGCTCAAGTGAACTGATATTAATTATTTGGAATATTAATTTATTTATATTAAATATTATGTAGCGCTCGATAGATTACATTCTATATTTACTAGAAATTTTCAATATTTATAGAGCTTATTTAATATTTTTTTCCCAGTGGTCATATTATTTTAAAACTGTGTAAAAGACCCCTCTCCTTCTTACACTAGAAACTTGATTTTTTTCTATTAAGAGCATCAGATTTTTTGAAACTAACGAGATGGGAATTTTACTACTTAGAGGTGGCCACGCAGGAGGTAAATGAGTGCTGAGTGTTAGTTTCCATATTTTTTTATTTAATGAACCTTTATTTCTATTATCAGACTTCGTCATCAGATTTCATTAAAACTTATTATTTAAATACTAATGAGTATAAAAGACATTTTATCTATCTTTAGTAATAGTTATATTAATGCGCAAAAAGTATCAAAATGTTATCTTGACTAGAATGTTGACTAAATATATGTGACATACGAGAAACCATTTAAATGATTAAAAAAAAATATTGTTTACGTAATGAATTAAGCTGAATATTTTAATCTCTTTTAATGTTTCTGAAATGTTCGGAATCGTCTTTCGGTCTTTCGTTTCGTTATCATCTTTCAAGAATTTATAAGAAATGATATATAGACTTTGAAATAAAATCTTGAACTTGCAGTGAGCAGTACAATTGTTTATTATTGTACAAATTATAGTTCACAAGAAATATTCTATTTAAAGAAATTTATCACCCAGGCGTAGAGTGCGTTCAGATATGTGTATGTAAAAATAATTTCGAAGGAAATGAAAGACTGTATAACATCCGCAATAAAAATACTACCACTGTATTTTGTATTATAACGAATAATATAATAAAGTTGTAAGTAGTAAAGTTTTAGCTTTTTTGTTAAACGATATTTTCTATTTTCAAACGCAAAAGTTGAAAATTTTCAAAATATAGAAAAAATTCTAATTCTAAGTAGTAAAGTTTTAGCTTTTTTGTTAAACGATATTTTTTATTTTCAAACGCAAAAGTTGAAAATTTTCAAAATATAGAAAAAATTCTAATTTTTCAATAAAATCATTTTTTTTTTTCAAAAATCTCAAAATTCTCGAAAACCTAATTTTTTCACAGCTTTAAAAAAAAAACTTGAATCATGAATTAAAAATTTTAATTTTTGGGATGAGAAGTTCCATAAATGCACCCATTATGCAGGTATAATTTATACAAATTTAATGTGTAAAATAATTATGATTTAATTATTTATTTTACAAACCCTATAAATGTTAGGAAACAGTCAATTTGGGATCGTTCAAGTATTACGTAAGCTGATTTATTACAATTATTTACCCCCTCATCCCCCTTGTCAGCAAAAGTAAGCAAAGCTCTTACCCCCTACCCCCATGCTTACGTAAACATTTTGCAATTACTGTAAAAAAATAAAAATACTACCTATGATGTAATCATCATCCAGACTCCCCTGCCCCCCATGTCAACCCAAAATAAGCAAATCAACAAACCTCCCGCCCCCCCTATAGTGCTTACGTAATACTTGAACGGCTCCTTTGAAACATACTTTGGGATCTATATTTTGAAGTAAAGTTTCAAAAAACTAACACTCAAGTTACTTTTGGCACTCAATTTTTTTTCGAACTTAGATGAATTTTTGAAATTAAGCGACTGAATGCATATGAGTGAAATGCTTATTACGTCTTGTTCTAATACGTTCCGCAATTCCCAAATGAGTTAAACAAACGCGCACTAGATTTGGTATTATAATGTTGAACACATAATATTTGTAGAAGGCGAGGTGTTAAATGGCATTTCTGTGAAACAGAAGGAATGCCGGCACAAATACACAGGCCTGAGCCCCAAAGTAGTGGCATTGTGATTCTGGGAAGGCAGCGATGAATGGCGATCCCGAGAGATCGGATCGGGTATCTGATGGGTAGCCGCTTTTTACTTCTTGGGCTCACCGTGAGGTCTTTGTGACCCTCGTGCGTGTCGGAATGCCGCAACACCGCATGTTGTTATGCAAACGAGTTTGTACGTACTACCATTACTACCACGAGACTATCGTTCATTCATAAGATTTCGTCTCGAGACTGAATGCGCCGCGATGCATTCACGGGGATTTGGAAGTGTATTGTCGAGATCGTTTACTAATAATAAGAAATGGACTACTAAATTTTATTATCCGACAATATTAAAGATTAAGACCACAAATCTTAGTAATAGGTCCATTTAAAGACTAGTGGTGTTTGGCATCGTGCCTTAAGGCTAATTGCTAGTACTTCCCGTATCAAAAATTAAACAAAATTTAAAGGCTTTTTTTTTGAAAACTTCGAAAACATGAGATCTTTAAGAATTTTGAAATTTTTGAAAAAAAAAAAAAGATTTTTCATATAAAGAATTTTTACTTTGAATTCTTTTTTTTAACTTTTGAACTTTTTTTCAATATATCAATCGCGCTGCATAGCTTTTTAGAGAGAAGATATCGAAGCGCCTAAGCGCCGCGTTGCAGTCTAACGAATAAATATTTGTACGGAACTCATAGAAACATGCACAAAATTTGTACTTCTATGAAATATCTGGTAATTTAATTTGCATTCGCATAATGATCATTTTTTACCGACAAATGGCATTCATTTTATACTTTTTTCCTTGTATCTCCGAAACCGCTGTACCTGCGTTGGGATTGTTCAAGTATTACGTAAGCGGATTTATTACAATTATTTAACCCCCCCCTCCCCCTTGTCAGCAAAAGTAAGCAAATTTCTTACCCAAAATGCCCAAAATAAGCAAATCAATAAACCCCCCCCCCCCTATAGTGCTGACGTAATACTTAAACGGCCCCCTTCCCATAAATTCAATCACTTTTTTAGTTTGTCAATAAAAGTAAAATGTTTTTCGAATTATTGAAATCGGACGCTCCGTTCTCTTAAAAACGGAGTTACCATTTTTGGCACTTTTTGCTCTGTATCTTCGAAACGGCTGGACCTGCCTTGGCCAAAAGCGATTCAGCATGTTTCTCCATTAATACAAATCGAATGTTTTTTGAAATATTCAAATCGGTTGACCCGTGTTCCCGAAATCGTCAACGAAAATTTGTTATCGCACACACCTATCCATTTTTTCTTAGGTATTCCAAAACGTTCAGAAACTTTTAAAACGTAAAGATATATAATTATTTTCATTTTCGATTTTTTGCGTTTACTTATCCTACGTTTAGTTCCTAAGTTGAATATAGATAGTCCGCGAGCATTATACAAAATTGTTTAAAAAATAAAACATTCAGCTTAAAAGATCGATAATTTTCTCTCTTTAGCGGAAACTGCGCTAATATTTGTCAATGGCGTTTTTACGTTACGTAAAAACAAAATGACGAATTGTTATTGCGAAAACTTATTCTGGCGCGTTGCCGCACCGGTGTGCCCACTCGGCTTTAATGAATTTCATTCAGTGGGTGGTGAGTACAACAAACACGAAGAAAGGCGTATTTAGTCATTGCTGAATTTTAGTATTTTCCTATTATAAAAACTACCAATAATCATTACCATATTTAGTAGCGTATGCTCACTACAGTCCAACTATTTTCCCTATTTATACTTTTTGATTTAGATCGATATTGAACTAAATGATAGTTCTAATAAGTTTTTTTTTGCCCCGTTGCGAATGTTTTGTATGTATGTTATTTTTATATCACTTGATGTCCATTATAAAATATTGATACCACAAAATTGCAGTATTTCAAGAATAAAATTGTGTCGACGGTGTGAATGTCAATGTTTATTGGCTTCAGTTTGAAAAAACATGTATCTGTTTATGTATTTTGATATGATCTATTTATAAAAAATGTTAACAGTATATTATAGAACTTCAAAAACATACTATAGTATTGCTTTAAAAATATATTTTCGTCGAAATAAAAAATATATATCTAAATATATACAAATACAAATATTTTTGACGGGTATTTTTTAATATTTAGGAGTTCCACTTATGCCAGAAGCATATGAACCTTTTTAGAATCCGAAAATATTTACCAATGTTTGCATAATAATTATAAATTTATATTATACCATGGTTGTTCTTGCCAAAATATTCTTGGATTTCTGATGATGTGTTTCAGAGGATAGCAAAATTTGCTTTAGCATTAGGTGCTACCAATCCATGATACTTATGTCGATACGTTAGTTTTATACTTCGTATTTAAGCAAATCACTGGTATTTTTTGTTAATTAATGCGACTAAAAAATATTAATTTAACTACTTTTTTATTACCTTTAACATTCATGATTATGTTATTATCAGACAAATGCATAAACATTGTCATATCTCATAGAAGTTAATTATCTTCTATTTATTAATTAATTGTTTTTTTATTTCAGTGCTATGTGCCTACAAGTTTCGAGAAATACTCATCTTCAACTGAATTATGCGGCATTAACATGAATTTTGAAATCTGGGATACCTCAGGTAATACCTGCCTTAAGATTGTTGTTTTATATTTTGTTATCCTTATTTTAATGTTTTTTTTATTTTTTATCTAAGGTTCCTCTGCTTATGACACTGTTCGGCCCTTAGCTTATCAGGATGCTAACGCGTTTTTATTTTGTTTTTCTGTTATGGAACCGCATATGCTAGAAAATATTGTTAATAAGGTAAATATTATGTTTGTTTATTTAATTTACTTTTAGTTGTATTATACTTTTTTAATTTTTAATTTTTAATTTTTAATCTTTATTCTTAAGAAATAAATGTTTTGAATGCGTCAATTTTGCATTTCTTTTGTTGCTTGATATATTTGATTTTTATATGTACAAATTTCATAACTATGTTTATGTGAGTTTAGAACTGATTTTTTGAAAAATTACTATAATTATCGATTTAGTTTTCACAAATATATAAAGAAATAATCATTCTTGACACAAACATTCGTGTTCGTGATTAGTACCTTAAAAATATTAACAATATTTTTGTAAATCATAAATTAATTAAATATCATGTTTATACATAAATAAAATTCAATTGCTATATTATTATTAATATTTTGGGTAAACTAATCAATCTTATTTCAAATTTGCTACTGTTTCTATTACGTTGGGTACAAACGTAATTCAGACTTTATATCAGTAATTTTTATTAATTTCAGTGGTATCCTGAGGTGCAAGTATACGCCCCCGGAGCTCCTATAATTTTATGTGGTTGTCAGGCCGATATTAAAAACGGAGATGTGCTAGTTTCTCCTGAAGAAGTAAGCATGTTAAACAACATTTTCAATATGTGAATTTTGAGTCATAAATTTTATATTCATATATAAAATGATTTCTACATGATAGGCGTAAAATATTCATAATTTTATTATATAAAAACATTTTATGAATGTTTGCTTTGTTTCGCTATTTGTTACCTAGCTGCAACAAAAGAGAAAAATTGTTAACTGTTACAAACAAAAACTGTGCCTTGACTAATTAGCAATTAAAATAATTGTAACAATCAAAATATTTCTAGCAACATCACTAATTTAAATTATTAATAATTTGTCCAGGCTATGGTGATTGGACGCAAAATCGGGGCAGTAACTTACATTGAGACTTCGGCGAAATTAGCAGATCGAAGTGTATCTGACGCTTTCGAGGTAGCAGCTTTAGCAGCTACTGGTCGCTTGAGCAAGAAACAAACTCAGGTAATTATTAGACTATCGACTGCTTTTTATTCAGTTTGTATTTGATATAGTTTTAAATATTGAATTCATTATTACAGAAAATCAGCAATCAGATCACCCGCAGCAAAACAAAAAATAGTTACAAAACTGAGTTGAAAATAAAAACCAAGAAAAACTGCACCATAATGTGACATAGGCAAAAATATTTTTATTTATTTATATATAATAGAGTTTTAAAAAATATATATAATATTATATATTATAAGATTTTGTAAATATTGTTATTAGCACTAGTCAATAGTTTTGAAACTCCTACTGTGATCATAATACACCAATCTGATATCAGATGCTTTTGTATAATACGCAATTGTTAATTACTTAATATACAAATAGATAAGACTATGAAACTATTTTATTTTAACTTTGTACTATAATAAATCACTGATTTTAAAATTAGAAATCTGATATAGTATTTTATTACATATAAATATATATCTCCGTAATAATTACCTACAAATATATAATTTTGTTTGTACAAAAAATACGATATAATTTAAATTTTCGGCGCTGATGACGCATATATTTCGACCATTTCAAGAATCTAATTGTATATGTACATTATCTTTTTTATTTATAAATGTGCTGTGGTTTAATTAGTGAAACATCAATACATGAATCTGATCGCATAGGACAGGACTCCGAGATGACCCCGAGGCAATATGAGGAAGTAATGTTCAACGAGCGAAAAACGCCAAAAAAATAATAGTCCAGCCATTTAAGCTTAAATTAGGTGAGAATCTCGGAATTCAAGATACCCAGCTGTAAGTCTATAAATAATTGTATATTGACACTTAAAAGTTGTCTCAAAACTTACATATGGTAGGGTGTACGCAACATATGTAGGTTTTGAGACAACTTTTAGGTGGTGATATACGAGTATTTACAGACTTACAGCTGGGTATCTCGAATTCCGAGGTGAACTTACTGTAATGACTGGACTATAATGTAAAAGCTGGATTGAACCCATCTCTTTGGCAGCATATCAGGTTGTATGGTTAACAGTAAACTACTACCATTATATGCACTCTCTCACTTTTTATTATGAATAAATCCTAAGTACATATTCTGGCTAACTCCCATATACGAATAAAAAGAAGAAATATCGTAATATATTTTATTTTCTGATTAGATTTAACGAGTTCCGCTGGGTGGTGGTAGCGCGTAGACCACGCGTTACCATCGCGTAAATTATATTTGACCAAATTATAGTTAAACTAATGTATGGGGAAATAAGATTTATAGCTAATCAAATGGCGATAAAAATTATACAAGTTTCAATTAATTAAAAACTCTCACGAGGTCTCTTGAGATACGAGGTCGTCACCGGTCGCCAAAAGCCCAAGTGGCTTACGCCTGAACACTGTCGCTGTGTTGATTTATTTATTTTTAGGATTTTAGGCCTTTTATCTATTATGGCATCTAGAATATTATTTTATTTCAAATTATAATCTCATTCTTTTGTGGATCAATTTCTATAAGTTTTTTTGATAATTTTATCATATATGTTTAATTTATTCTCATATATTTAGTTCCCTAGCACTAGCAGTGGGTACTTTCTTACCATTAGTATCGGAGTTTTAGTTACCATAGAAGAAATAAATGACATATAATAAATACGATAAAACTATTTATTAGGATATAAGAATTGTGCAAATTCAGATCGTAATTTCAATAAAATTTGTCAGTGATCGGGCAACATTCGTAAAGACCGTTACGGATATCGATATCAGTATCCCATAATTCCTAATGATGGCACAAAGGTTAATGCAAATGCAAAGTGTAGTCCTTTTTTTCATCGATATTCAAAATTTATTAATAAAGTTTTTTATGTATATGTATATATATCTTCGTAATATTAAAGTTAAACGTGAGGATTTATAATATTGTCATACAAGTTTATGGTTTTTCTGTTGTAAATGGTGCAAATTGAATACTATGTGTTAAAAAGTGATATGTTATTAATTGAACTATTAGATAAGTGTTTTGTGGTTAAAACTTATATTTCGACTTGCTGTTGAAATGTTCAGAACCACTTACAACTTTCCAGCCTTTATCAACCAAATAATGTGCGATCGGAATTTGTATGGCAGTTTGATTTGGAAGTTAGTACAGAGTGAACCGTGAAATCTATGCAGAGTTAGTGTTTAGTTAGTTTTATTGAAATTTACTATATATATAGTTGATGTGAGTTTACTATTTTGCAAACCATAATGAAAGTGAGTATAGCTACTAATATAATGATCGTAATTTAGAGTTTACACACGTGACATTAATTTTTCGAAGCTGTGAATTTATTTAATAAAAGTCAACTTTAAATATATGTAGCGCGATACTTATCACGAGCGAAGAATGTCATTTGAAGGAAGAATTCAGTTTCCACATAAAACTATAATAATAATCTACACATTTTTTTTACAGCTATGGCCATTTGGCCAATAATATTATAGAATACAATATAGGCTAAATCGGTATTGTCAGGAGATTAGTAAAGCTTGGCTTGGAATTCTTCTCGTCATTAATTGCTAATTATTTTAAATTTAATTTTGTCAATTCAAAAGTGACTCATCGAAGTTAAAATTATCTCTTGACTTAGCTTGTTGATACATACCTCTCTTTTACTTTAAATTATATATCTTATATTCTACTAAATACATGTTCGACCTTTGATTATATTCGTATTCATGCAGGTTATAACAAATGAAAAACACAAATCCCTGTTGAATAAGAATATATTCAATATTTTTATGCCTACAGAAGATTAGAGGCAGTTATGTACTGTAATGTATATTAATTATTTATATTCATTTCCAATTTTCTATCCACCAATGTTTTTCAAAACATTTAATTCATATCAAGTACTTGATACGTAGAATTGATAATTAAAGTATACTGTTAATCCAAAACAAATATATATGGGCATAAAATCCTTCGTTTCTTTTGCAATACTCTTGTCAGCAGAAATTATATTTTTCAACTATATCAACACGCAGTTTTAAGTAAATAATTTTTTGATTGTTTTCCAAATAAATCTGCTTATCATGCATTATCCTATTATTTTTAGAATTTTTTCAACTTGATCCATTTAATAAGTCAACTTGTCTTTCATACTGTTAATTCCTTACTTACTGATAATATTTTTGTGCTTGCTTGTATAAGCTCAAGAAAACAAAATCTTAGTGGATTTTTTAAAAAAGGATGTTTAAGTTAAAGTATTAACGTAAGACACCTAGGATTTTTTTAACAAATTTTGTTTTAATATCAACCTTATTGTTTTTTTCATTAAAATTCATTTTGTTATAATTGTTAAAATCTATGTATATTCTTGAAATCTTTGACTTTAATCAGAAATGGAAACAAAACAACAATAAATCTTAAACTACAAGAAAATAATTTTAATTTCTGTATTACAAAAATCTCTTACTTATAAAGGTTTACACGTTCACACTTTATAATTATTAACTAATTGTAAGTCATATATCTCGGGGTTGCAGAAAACTTAGCATATGATTTTATAACTTTATTTACAGCTTCTAAAAAGTCCTTCTCTGTTGCCACTTTCCTACGAGCTCTAATAGCAAACATTCCAGCCTCAGTGCAAACAGATCTAAAAATAATAATAAGCATAATGATTACTAATGACATAACATTAACTTAGTATATTTTATAAGTGTCATATACACATGTAGGGACAATTTAAATACAATTAGTAATGTTCACATTAATTATTTTAAGATAATTGAGTAATGAATTTCATACCTAATTTCAGCACCAGTAGAGTTTGGACAGAGACGTGCCAACAATTCAAAACGAATATCGCGTTCAACACTCATACTTCTTGCATGAATTTTAAATATATGTGATCTTCCTTCCAAATCCGGAAGCCCAAATTCTACTTTACGATCAAGACGGCCTGGCCTCATGAGCGCTGGATCTAAGGTATCTGGTCTATTCGTAGCCATAAGTACCTGTAATAGGGGATAAAATATTAAAAGATATAATATATAATTTTAATTTAATATCACAAAAGTATATTATGTAAGATGTTTAATTTTAATGACATAAATATTACTTTTATATTGCCCCGGGGGTCAAAACCATCTAACTGGTTTATTAGCTCCAACATAGTCCTTTGCACTTCATTATCTCCACCTGCTCCATCATCAAACCTTAAACACAAGATCATTATTAAAAAAAAATAATAAGTAATATTTTACACATTTTGTGACTAATTTAATTTTAAACATTTACTTAAAGACACCAGGTGTTACAAAATTAACAATTCTTCAAATCTGAAACTTTATATTTGCATTGTCAATCTGTCAATTTAATACTTATTGTTGTTTGATTCATATTTTACCTGGCTCCTCCAATGGCATCAATTTCATCAAAGAATATCAAACAGGCTTTCTTAGATCGTGCCATTTCAAATAGTTCACGTACCATACGTGCACCTTCACCTACATATTTTTGGACCAATTCTGAACCAATAACTCTAATGAAACAGGCATCTGTTCGATTAGCCACAGCCCTAGCGCATAAAGTTTTTCCAGTACCGGGTGGCCCAAACAATAAAACTCCTTTCGGTGGCTCTATACCCAGTTTAACGAATTTTTCTGGCTATAATAAATAATAAGATACTTTGTACCAAAAGTAAGAATAAAAGTATTTGATATTGGAATAGATTTAATATTCATAAATCAAAGAGATTGTAATTTACATACATGCAATAGTGGAGTCTCTACTACTTCTCTTAATTTTTCAATTTGTTCCTTACATCCACCTACATCACTATAGGTAACATCTGGTTTCTCTTCAACCTACAAGGACAACCCCATTATAAATTATTGTATACTATTTTGAAATGATTATAAAATAATTTTATTACAACATAGCATATTTATAAATAATACCTGCATCATTGTGACTGTAGGATCAATTTTAGGGGGCAGGGGTATATGTATTTGATACTTGTTCCTGTCAACACTGAAATTCAAAACATAAATATAATAAATATGAAAACCATATTTATACTAAAAACTATTGGTAGCATATCAAACTAATTTTCTTAACCATTAAACAGTTCACATTCTTTTCGAAATGTTATCCTAAAATGAACAAAGTAATTCAATTGAAAAAAATTATTGTTAGAAGAGATCACATGGTTTTATGGGGCAAATATTAGATAATACAAATTTTGATGCAATGCTACACATATATAAAGCACTATTTTTTCAACAGTTTTTCATATTTAATATATAATTATATACCCAACACGCATTCCTTCTTCTATATCTGTTGGAGCTACCGAATCTGCCAAATCCACAACAAATTTTGCAAATTGTTTTACATTTATTATGTATTTTGGGTCATCAGAATCGGCGTTAATGATTTTTGTGCATCTGGCAACCTAAGTAAAAATACGATATTAACATATGAAAAAATAAATAATGAACAATAAATTAGATCATGAAATACCTGTAAAGGCTGTTCATTTTGCAAAGTTTGTTTATCAGCTGCCAAATCCCACAAAGCTGGTGGAGCAAGACCAGTGTCACTTTCTTTAATTCCTGTTAATTCATTTACTCTTTTAATCACAGTCTGTATGTCATCTTCTACTGCTTTTATCGTTTTTGTATAAGGTCCTTGGCCCTACCGAGAAACATAGTAAGAATACTCCACTATAAAAAAAGCTAATAAATTATATGAATCTTAATAATATTGTACTTACATAGCTCTTGAGTAACGCGATGTCCCCTTCGTCCAAAGCTAAAATTGAATAAAAAGTATAAGAACAACAAATTTTCTAAATAAGAAAACAAATTTGCATTGTCATACATACATTTTATATCTTTTTCTTCATCTTTCTCAGCATTTTTCACTTTACGCATATCATCACCCAAATGGTCAGGCATTTTAATTTTTATATTTCCTACTACCTAATTTACAAATACAGTTTAACTAACAGACAATTTCTATATGTTAAAATGCACAATCGCCGACAAATGTCCAAATACACATTACTCGCAGAATCGACTGTGGTGAAGTTGTGCACGGTTAGAAGCGCTGTCAACTGAAACAAGAAAATAAATATATGGATTTAAATTAGGATTAACGATATTTGAAAACCAAAATTTTTTTTTTTTTTTTTTTTTTTAAAACTTTATTACCTTTTTTCTTACATTTTTTTTTAAGATACTAAACTTTTTTTTTTTTCTTACATACATATTACTTTTTCTTACGTATTACAAACATATTTACTTTTTCCTAACATATTACATGATTATTACATTTTCCTTTTTATTACTTGATTATTACTTTTTTTCCTTTTTATTACTTGAATTTTAACTTCTTCCGAAGGTTCTCCTGGTGTATTGACTTATTCTCCAACTCAGTCTGGGTGGACAGAATCAGAGTCGCTGTTTTTCCTTTTTTGGGTACAGGGATACAATCCGAGTACCTCATACTTGAAAGAGGCATGTTGCTACTACAACTATTGCCCCCTCTGCATATACGTATGCTGCAGCAATGCCCACGAAAGGCTATTTTCACTTGAGATCATATTTGAAATCTATGATTTCAAGTGAAAATTTGGTATCGAGCTGCTTTGATACCGAACCGACCGCAGTTGGATTCGAACCCGGGACTAGGATTTGCTAGCCCACGTTCTTACCACGGGACCACGGCCGGCCCGATCATATAATCAATAACAATTGATATTTATTTCTATCCTATGCGTTATCTAGTTTATTATGTTTGTTGTCATAGATTAAATTTATAATTAAAATTTCATTAAAAAAAATTTATTTTATTTACATCGAAAATAACTACATTTTTAAAAAAATGGAATACTAACACTAATAATATTAAATATAACAATTTATTTATAAAGAAATTTTATAGGTAACCTATTCATTATTAATTAATAATTTATTCTCTTATTTACATTGCTAATGTTTGGAAAATAAAGGCAAATAAAGCATTCTTCATAATCGAATTAGATTCGACTCGGCCATGTTATCCGTTTTGTATTTACATTATCTATGATATTACTCAATGAGTTCTCGTTTGAAGTGCGTCGATGAATTTAGACAGGTTGGTCACCACACTTTTAATAAAATTACACTTGTCATTTCTGTTCTCGATTTGAGGTTGACAGAAGGGAAAAATTTATTTAAAGTACTATATTTTTTATATATATTTTTTTATTAAAATCTTGAAATGAGTAATTATAGTGTAGTTGAATATTTTGGCAAAAATGTTAGTAAATGTGGTTATTGCAAGCAAAATGAAGGGAGTAAATGTCATGGTACAAAAATAGACGATATTTAATTGTATCAAGCGTTTACATACTCCGATAAATATGATTAAATTATTTCAGGAATGTGGACACATTGCTTAACTGTGCAAGATTATCAGGATTTAATAGATAGGGGATGGAGACGTTCAGGGAAATACTGTTATAAACCTATTATGGATGAATCATGCTGTAAATTATACACAATTAAGTGAGTTTATTGCTCAACTATGAAGTAAAATATTTTATTTGTACAAATATACACTTATAAAATATTAATATACACTTACATAAATAATTTTTAAGTTTAGCTTAATTATTTAATATTAATAACTAATATATTAGGAACACACTACTTAATGAATCATATTCTGAATTGTATTGCATTCATCATAAAAATAGTTGTTACATTGTAATAATCTTTTATTGACGAACTCCATACAAGGCAGTAATTTTCATGAAATCTGAATGGGTAAGAACTTGACTTGCACTCACACATGTAAAGAAATTCTATTGATCATATTCAAAATCAAGGGAAGTTTATTTAACTAAATAAAATGTGTAGATGACAACATCTCAGAGTTATAAATGTGTGAGAAAATAATTGATTTCATCAAAAGTATTCTGCTTAATTTAAACTTATTTGATATTTACTGTAACATCTAACAAAATAGGTTGATGAAGAGAAAAGCTAATCGGTGCCCAACACCTTATATTATTAATGTTGAAATTTCTAGGTGCGCCGCACTGAATCTTCAGTTATCAAAATCGCAAAAGAAGAATGTTAAAAATGTTAACAAATTCTTGTCTAATGGCATAAAAGACAGCACGGTTTGTGAAGATGTTCATTCTCTTGCTTGTGGAGATCAAATGAACATAGACAATAAACCAACTACTTTAATGACAAATAGAGTAGATGATATTGAAGCTATTGGCATTGGTTCAGAAATCAGTATGGCTAATACAACAGGTAACATTTTAAGGACTATTTTTATGGTCAGTATTTTCTCATTTGACAAAATTATCTCGGGGCAAAATTTTATGAATGAAATTGTTTGTAAAAGTCAATTGTATTTTTTTATATGTTTTTAGTTCTTTTTATTATTGTTAATATACTGGATAATTAAATACAATAACAGACCAACTTACTACATCTAAATAGATATCGATTCCAATTTTGCATTGAAAGTTTCTTTTTATTTCTTAATTAATTATTTGCTAATTTTATTTTATTAATCATTTGCTAATTATAATCTATTTTTTTTTTAAATTTAATGTTGCAGAAAAATTGATTCTAAAATGATATTTGAATTGATTGAATTGAAATAACTGCTTTTAATAATAGATTAAATTTATCACCATTATAAAAATAATGCCAATAATTAGTACCAATCAATTGTGATAAATTGAAGTTGAGATGAAACAGTTTTTTTTAAAATGATTTTGATATTACTGCCATTTTTTGTATTCAGCATACAGTAATAATTGTATAGATTTATTTGATGATTTGATTGCCTGAAATGCAAATGTAGTCTATATATTCAGATTTTTCTATTAAAAGTCCTATATCATAATTACAATTGAATATTTATATGTACAGTAGGCCCTCGCTTTACACGGCACTCTGGGTACACGGTTCCCATACTACACGGAGCTAAAAATCCGACATCCCTCCGACTACACGGACTTCTTATTACACAGTATTTGGTCAACAGCCCATAAGTTCGTTGTGCAAAAGGGTATTGTTGTAAATTTTGTTATCGACTTTTATCTTTTAGACATGCCTGATTGTATAATAGCCGCCTAAGAACACGTTTGAGCTGATTACTGCGTCGCGCCAATTTTTGAATAAGGTGTCAATGTCCTACACGTCATTTCGTCCGTATTTCTCCTACTTCAAGTTGTATTTCTTGGTCTCCATACAACGCGATAAAAATGGTGCGATTTGTACCAACTCTGAGTCTCTCATAACACGGTTCCCATACTGCACTACGAATTAGCCTGAATTGTATGTTAAATACGAGTTTCTTATAGCACGGTTCCTATACTGCACGGTACGCACTTGCCGCGTAAAGCGAGGGTTTACTGTACTGTATAGAAATGTTGAATGCATCAAATTAATTTAAATAATAATCACATTTATATTCAGATCATGTTAGTAATTCTTCAGAGGCAAACGATAATAATCACTGTTTAGAAGAAAAATCTAGCATAAAATCTGTGAAGCAAGGTATTTGAAAAGATTGAGTGTGATTAGGATATATATTCATAACTTTTAGTCACATATTATTTTTACTGAAGGTCTTGGTGCTGATCTTACTAGACCGCCATGTAAAAAAGCTAAAGTACTTAGAATGGAAAGGAAAAAGGCTAAGTTATTAGAAAGAGGCGTTGTTTTAGAAGAAAAGCTGCAAAGTAAAAACGTGGATAAAACATTGGAAGATCTTGTCAATAATATTCCAGACAAATCCGTTCATAAGTTGGAGGTCAGGATTTTTGGAAGTATATTATGGAATGCTTTTTGCTTTTTATGTTTATAATTCAATTATATTTCATATATATCACAAAATAGTTACGTTTAACTCCCAGTTCAGAAGTTTTAAAGCAGTCCAATGAGGCATTTCTTGTATATAGAAAATACCAGATTGCGATTCATCATGATTCACCAGAAAAATGCAATGAAGAGCAATTTACTCGTTTCTTGATAAGAAGCCCTTTGCAGGTAGACTATAAAACCCAGAAAATTTGAAAGGACAAAGCAAAAAGTATTCCATTGCAATAATTTTATACAGAAATTTTAAAATTTATTTTTCATTAATAGTGCCGTTTGTTACATATACAAAGTTCAGAGTTTTTAGATACAGTTAAAGAAAGTTTTATAATATATCATAAATATCAAACAGTAATTCATAAAGAACCTAGTGATGAATGCGATTTCAAGAGCTTTGAAGATTTCCTATGTGATTCACCATTAGAGGTACATTTTGCTTTGTTAAAATTATTGTATTTATTTATAACTTATAGATTATATATATATATATATATATATATATATATATATGTATGTATGTATGTATGTATGTATGTATGTACGTACGTACTTACGTAATAGTGCATACAAATTATAACAATCTTATTTTGCAGTCTTTGGGAGATTTTGGTTCCTTTCATCAACAGTATTATTTAGATGGAAAATTAATAGCTGTAGGAGTTATAGACATCTTACCTAGTTGTGTTAGTTCAGTATACTTTTACTATGATCCTGATTATGGGCACATGTCTCTTGGCACATATGGGGCTTTGAGGTAATTTATATGAGTTACTTATTACTATATTATGAGTTATACATTATTATTATATGTATGCATTGGGAATTTATTTCAATACTTTGTTGATTTAGGGAACTAATGTTAGTGCGCCAATTGAATCAGAAATATCCTGATTTAAAATACTACTATATGGGTTATTATATACATACTTGTTTGAAAATGAAATATAAAGCAAGATTAAGGCCTTCGTTTCTCTTATGCCCGGTGACATACACTTGGATTTCTATTGAGAAATGTTTACCGAAAATTGATGCCAGTCCATATTCAAGATTATCTTCTGATGGAGAAGATCTGAATTATTGCAATGAAAATGATTTAAGTAAAGTTAGAGTTTTATGGGGTAGAACAATTCATTATTATTATATGTATGCAAGAAATAATGAAGAAGCCGATGCTCATGAAGTACTGGAATATGCGCGCTTGATTGGTAAAACACTATCTAGAAGAATGCTGTTATATAGGCAATAATAGGTACATATTTAAAGTTATTTATTTATAGTTCTATTCTTTTGTGTTGATTTGAATACCTATTCTTAAATTATTAAGCATTCATAAATCGTTTCTAGCTATAAATAAAAGTATTTACCCATATTTATCAATTTATTAATTAAGATATATAGTTTATATTGTGTATTATGGAGAGATAAGTTTATCTACATATTCATATGTATATGTATATATATATATATATATATATATATATATATATATATATATATATGTTTAATTTGAGTTAAAAGTTGGGCATTACATCAATAAAAATAGTATGAGAGTTTTTAGAAATTTATTTATTTAAAATTCATACGTTATTTGAAATCTCATACTATTTTTATTGATGTAACGCCCGACTTTTTAACTCAAATTAAACATATTATATCAACACCATATTCAAGACTATTCAAGAATATATGTGTATATATATATATATATATTTCTGTGATATATATAATTATATATGTATATATATATATATATATATATATATCACAGAAACAAGAAATTTATGAATAAGTGAAGTTACAAACATGATCTCGTAAAACTTCTACGTTGTAGCCATAAATTATGTGAATTATGTTGGAAAAAATAATTTTATATGCTATCGTACTCATATTTTTTTTTATTAATCAATGTAATAATAGTGCTTTATGGACTTGCTCAATATTTTCTCGGATATTTTTGATACACTGTTGAAACTTATTATTTTCATGCATGGTTATCAATGTCATTGTTCTGACAAGGCGTATAGTTTTGATAGTATTCTTGATGCTAATAGTTGACTATATATTCAAAATTCTTTGATAATAGATCTCATATTCATGCTATTGTTTCGAAGTTTTCTCTTATGTTATAGTGAATGAGACATTTATTTTAATTAAATTAAATTTCATTCAATTTACTTATTTTAATCAGCAATGACAATATTCAAATAATTGATATATAGTACATTTTAACTTGATATAACAAAATACTTTATTAAATATAAAATTGAAAATTTCTTTCAAAAAAAATCATGGATGAGCCTACCTCGAAAAACTTTTCCAGCACATTGCCGGCATTGCCAATTCCACTAAAATACAATAAAAATTATAAATATTATTATTAGTGTCTGAACACAGTATTATCAGTATCCGCGTTATTGATTAATACTTTTTGGTGTTAAGGTTATAATTTTTCATTTTTCAAGACTTCTTAATTATTTTGGCATACTTTAGGAAAATTTGATGCGTTGGCATTTTTGAGTTCAATGGATTTGAATGTATCAAAAACATTCTGTTCTCTGTTAAGTTAATTAGATTTTGGGAAAGTTTGGCTCAGCAGTTTCGGAAATACAGAGAAAAAATTGTCACACGGTTTTTGAAGTATCGGATTCAACTGATTGAAATAAGTAATTCGAAAAACATTTTTTTTTTTAGTTTTTTTTAGTGAGATCAATATTTTATTAGTTTTTGGGAATGGCACAACCAAAGGCACGAAAATAAAAATTGGTGTCAATATGCTCATTGATATATCTGATTTTTAAAGAGGGGTTTGGGTTGCACACCCATTATGAAACATTTTACTTTTATACTTGAAACATATGATTTTATATTTTTTTTTATTTTGTTCAGCAATTTAAAAGTTCTGCATTTTACATACCTATCTTAGGGTGCTGTAAGCAAAGAAGTAAAAAATTGTAACTGTCTAAATAAGCATTTTTTTTACTATTGATCTAAAATTGTTGACTAAAGTTTTTTTTGAATACATTGTTTTAATAGTATTGTCGCAAAACTAATACCTAATTTGTCAAACCTGATGAAAAAACTGTTTTCCAAAGTAATCAGAAATATCAAAATATTAAATATTGAATTAGTGATTGAAATTGAAATTTTTCTTTCTCAAAAAAATCATTTGGCAGTCATAATTTTATTAATACATATTATTAACTTCTTGTAGGGTAAGTTATAGTAATCAAAAAATGAAAACCAAAACGAAAAAGTGTATATATCTTTATGTTTCTTTCAGAGGTTTCTAAACATTTTGGCATACCTTGGAAACGAATGTTTGTGTGTGAGAGAGAAAGTGAGTGTTTTTGACCGTACAGCCTAAAAAGAGAAAGTGAGTGTGAGTGCGTGTGTGTGTTCTGATACAAATTTTCATTGACGATTTTGGGAACACTCTTCAACCGATTTGAATGATTCAAAAAGCATGCGGTTCCTATTGATACGGGACTGCCGAAAACGATAACTCAATTTTTAAGAGCGTCCAATTTTAATAATTCAAAAAACATTCAACTTGTGCTGACAAAATGAAGAACTGGTTAAATTTTTGGAAAGGCAGTTTTAGCGGTTTTGGAGATCGAGTAAAAAACAGAAAAAAATGCCATTTGGCGGTCAAAAATGATCATTAGACATATGAACATCAAATTATCAGATATTTTATAAAGATTCTAATGATAAGTTTAAATTTATTATTAAGAAATTTCCATGGGTTCCGTAACATTGTTTGTCCGTTAGACTGCGACGTGGCGCTTACACGCTTCGATATTTCGTCTCTATGCAGCTAAAGCAGCGCGATTGGTTTGAAAAAAAGCTCAAAATTTCCAAAATATTTCAAAATAAAAAAAATCAAATTGTCAGTTTTTTTTCCAAAAAATTTCAAAATTCTCAAAATCCAATTTTTTCAAAGTTAAAAAAAATGTCAACCTTTTTACACTTATGTCTGGGCAATAATTTTTGGTACGGAAAGTTCCAGCAATTTGCCTTAAGGTGGCAAGGTGCCATACACTATTATTTATCAGTTTGGATTCGTATTATATAATTATTCTATTTTGTTTAAGTAGCAGGAGCAATAGTAGCGCCTTTAACCCTCCGTCGGGCGCAGCCGATCTGACAGGACCAACATTTTAGCATGTTTCTCCATAATTTGATGTCATCGAGATCTCCATATCTCAGTAGCCTCGTTATTTTATGTCTACTATTTATTCGTCCATATAAGATTGTCTTTAAACTTCGCATATTTTGCTAGTAGCAATTTTGTTAAAAAAAAACGCATTAAGCCAAATTCTATTTGACGTACAAAATGACAAAAAACACTAAGTTTTTACTGTCCTAATTGTTTATATAGTCTTTGTATAAACATTCCAACAGAATCTGACAATTGTTTTTATATAATTAATTAAATTATTCATTTCAGAAAAAGTAAGGTTTTGCGTCTAGCATTTTCAGCGCATGTACGGATTTTTATATTTTGCTATATTATAAAAATAATATTGATCTAATATATATTTTGTTTTTGTTTACACATAATATACATATTCAGCATTGTAAAAGCGCAAATTAAATAAAAATATATGAAACTATGAGCCTCCTGTCAATATATTTATAATCTGTATCTGTCAGATACACTGCGCCCGATTCTGTACATACTTGGACTGCGCCCGACGGAGGGTTAATGCTAGTAAATCCCAACAAATGCATAAAATTTAAATTCTTCGTAAATTGTTGCCTCCACAGCTTCTCACAGACAAATTTAAACAACTTTACAATAATTTCGAACTATAATATAGTTGAAGAATATATAACTTCGACTAGGTGTATAAGTGGCATTTTGCCTTGAGGCAAGTTGTACAACGTCCCGATTGGTGTAAATAATCCACTTAAGCAATTAGAGTTGAGATTGATCCATTTAGATATAGTTTTCAACTGTTTATTACGAAAATAGTTTTCACTTTTACTAAGAACTGATCAAAATAATTTCCAATTAACATCCTTCAAACAAACTTATAATATCTGTAAATGTAATAATTATAGTGCACGTTTTTATGTCCTTAAAGCGCAGCTCATTATTCCAAGTTTTAACCTTTTCCACTCGCGAATTCCGAAATTTATATGCGGCATTAATGTATTTTTACAATTCAACCACTTTTCGTAGGACTATAATATTTTAGAATAGACGATAAACTCGATTACCATGTTCAGTTTTATTGAAAACGACGATTTTTTAACGGCACGAACAATTTTTATTAAAATCTAATTAACACTATTCCCAATTGAGATATTTTGAGCATTTTTAAAAGTTTTTAATCGTCTAAGGATTTTTGGCTAAAACGTAGCCAAGTTTTTTTTGTGAATTCTAAAGAAACGGCTTGATCGATCGTCATATCAAATTTTCAAAATTAGTGCAACTGTTTTTGAGACCACAACGCCGACAAAAGACAAAAAAACGGCTCGCATATACTTTTTCAATTTTCGTCTCAAATGATTCTGAATGACTTGAAACGTCGAGAAAATGTAAAATTAGTCGGGTTGTTTTTGGCGAAGACATAAACGTATCCCTTGGGAAGTTAATAAGATAATACAGCCAAATCGGATTTAACATCATCTAATATTTTGTCATTTAATTTCAAATTTTTATTTGTAATTTCATAGCGTAGCACCTTCGACAATTTTGCAGTAGTACTTATATCACACTTATATTTATACTTCAAATGCATCGATTGAATTTATTGTTCAGCTGCGTATAACATAATGCCTAAATAATATGTAGAGCATTTAGAATTATAATGTTCATACTCTGGCACATCTTATTCTGGTTTGTTCATAATGTTGGATGCAGCTGCTATAATTTGCTTTTGTATGTTTAAAAACTAAACTAGTATCATTACCATATTTTCAAAGCTGGGCATATTCATTTACTCATAAATAGATATTGCAGGCAATGTCTCGTCTAAAGTCTATTTTTATATGTAATGTAATTAGGAAAATAAAGACTCTTTGTTCTGTTTCCACGGTATTGTTTGGTAGATTTACTAAAATCCTAATTATCGACATATTTAACAGTCTCCAAATTTTTATGTTTATCTTGAGTGTAATTCAATTATGAATAATTAAAAATGATTTATTTTGCGCCACTGAAAACAACGTATAATATATTATGTTTCCTTTAGCGTTATCCTACACATTTATGTTTACAAAATATTGTTATATAATAATGTATTTAATTATTACGATGTATTTATTATTATTTAATTAATAAAAGATCGAGTTTTAACATTAATATTTTATTAAACATATCAGACAGTATAAATAATTTTTCTAAATATTTGATGGTTGGATGTATCAAATACAATATCAATATACAATTAACAAATAAGCATAATTTTGCAACATCATTCGCCTGTATTGATTTCGGAAATTATAACCATTTGGTTACGTATTATATAATTATTTTCAGACTGTTTTAGTGAAATATTTGAAATGTTATTTTTTGATGAAATAGTATGACTTAAATAATATGTTATCAAATTAAGAATTGTCGAGCCTGAAATTAATAAAAAGTATATTTTTAAAATATGACACCAAAAAATACGGCCCAATGGCAGGGAAGATAATGTTTGTTAGACTTCTATCTGCTTCAGATATATTATAATTAATAATACTGATAGTAACCACATTTTATGTAATAACAACTATAGAATTTTCTCGGTCGTATAAAAAGAAATAAAACATAAAAACATGTAAAACATATCACAAGGTAAACATTGGCACATCAGACAATAATTACAATTAAACTATAAACAAATTTTTGCGTTAAATCCTTAACTTTTGCTCTCGATTTGACTATGGCTTGGTATATTTTCCTTCATTTCCGTTGCGCATGTAGCTTTAGAATGTTCTTTACTTTCTGATGTGTTATTTTCCGCTTCGTCAGTTTTTACCTCATTCCAGCTTTGAACTTCGCCTGATCCGAAAATGGCAAACCAAATTGATGGCACAATATAAACAAAAGCTCCAACTAAAAAGATTTTGTGCCACTCTTCTAGACCATTCTGAAACCAAAAAATCGCGTTTAAGGAAACTAATTAAAAACTCTACTAGCTTTTTGAGAAAATACTGGTGTATTTTAGCGTTAATCGAAGGCGCAACAAAAAAAATCTCATCGCCTATTTTTCGATCGTATAGTGACACATTTTATGGCTTTTTTGATATTACTGTGACTCTACTATACTTTTTTATTTTATTTAAAATAGAGTTAGTTTATTATAATACGTGCTGCGGAAGAGTTTGAATGTATATTTAATAACGATAAGTGACGTGCATATATCTTATTTATCATTGAAGAGAACTCTCCTGTTTCAGTATTTATTATTATAATACTACTATAATAATACTAATATAATAATGGACAGCATTTGAATAAAATTATTATAATTCAACTTTAGAACTAACTAGGTTTGATATTATTGCTACTTGGGAAATGTTGATTTCAAATCAATTAATGATAAAAATATTCATTTTTAGTGTTTTATGATATTAATTTTGTGCGAGTTTTATACAAACTCGTATTTTCTACAATGTAAAAATATAATCTTTCTGATTCCAGTGTGTATGATAATTACGTTTCTTACTCAAATGTGCAATCATTAATTTTTCATATCATTGCATAATTTAAATATGTACTTTTAATAATTGTTGTTTCACTGGTTTTATTTCTTTCTGAGTTTTGCTACCTAATTTGAAAGAACTTATATTTTTTTCTGGTGGTGAATTATATTAAAATTCACGTATATTATAATTATTTTTAGTATCAAATATAGTATCAAAAAGTATTGCACAAATTGCCGATATAAATTAAAATATAATCATATTTATAATATCGAGCTAATGTATATATATATATATATATATATATATATATATATATATATATATATATATATATAATGACGCGAAAGCCGTAACAAAAGTTTACAATGGTTCTTAATGGATTGTTTTTACATTTCACAAACATCGAGATTTTAATATTCATGCCTTAGCGGGGACCGGATTGCAAAAGTGAAACTTATATATATACGCTGAATGCAAATTTAAAAAAAAATTATATATTGACAAATATTTGCGAAATTTCACGGGTGATCAATGTGATCATAAAAATTGCTACTAACTTGAATCACGTCACGCGCAGGCTGAAATGGTAACAGCTGATGACGATAAACAGCAGAATTATGAAACCTGTTTAGCTTTGGTAATGAAAATGATCGAAAACTGCAAAATATGATACAGAGAGCGCTTTTGGTTTAGTTAGTATTTCCTGATTTCTTAACCAGCTAACTGCAATTGACAAATATATTCGTCATGCAGTAGTGGCAAAATTATACATATTGACACTCGTCATGCGTATAAATCGTAGACTTTTACATGCATTATAACGTCTATGGTATAAATCTTTGACCATTGGCTGTTTAGATTGCATGTTTTGATAAGAAACAAAAAAATTTCTCTGATTCTCAAATTTCAAAATATTTAGAGTATATTGAAGCTATGGCAGTATAAAATAAATCGTAGTAAGTAGCATTTCACTTCAAAAACAATATTTTACCTCGATTCTGACGACACAAAACTGTGCGATCTGTTCAATGAGTGCGCTACAGCTAACTGGTTAATATCGAATGTATATTAATTAATAATAGATAAAATACAAAATAAAACAAAAATTGACAAAAACATGGGGCTTCAAAACTCTTTAAAGAATTAAAATGCTATTACAACGTGTTATATTATATGGTTATTTTGCTCAACTAATGATATAATTTGAAAATTTTTATCAATATCAAGCGCTTCATATGAATAAAATCGCATTTTACTAAAATTTTGACCCTAAGAGACTACTATCGTAACTGTATATATTGAGATCAAAAATTTTAATTTATACCAAATTGTATTCCGTCTTGCAGAATGATTTTGAGTTTTTATTCACGTGTACGAATATTTTCAGTTAATATGTTTGAACGTTTTAGTTTTTAATTCATTAGGTTACTCACGTGATCCCTGATGAAATATCCGACTAAAGCAGGGCTTATGAATCCGGAAGCGCTTCCGAAACAGTTGACTATTCCGTAGATAGTTCCGGCAAAGTTTGGAGCAAGATCTTGCGAATTTTGTAAATTTGTCATTGTCGAGGCTCCATTAAATCCAAGAGATAAGGTTATTATAGTTACTGATAAAATTGGAGCACATCCTACGTTTCCTAGTCCGAATAAGAACAGTCCTGGTATGACGTGAGCTAAAAATAAGTCGATATTAATTAATATGATAATAATGAATAATGACGAACACGAGTTAAAGTTATAACTAATGTAATTCATTGCGAATAGGGAAAATTTGTTTCTATATATTTTTTTATTAAACTTACAGAAAATACAAAACAGTTTCCTGACATTAGTTACTGACAAATAGTTTTTATTGCGTAAAACGTCACCCACTGCTCCAAATAAAATTCCCATAATCATCCGCATTAGGTAGGGAAGACCGGATAAGAAACCGGCATTGCGTATGTCGAATCCAAGAACTTCTGTTAAAAATTTGGGTGCAGATGTTAGCAGAAACTGCAAACCCCAAGCTGAGCCGAAATGCAACACAAACAGTGACCAGAAAGGTCCGGACATAATCAAGCGTTTGAATGGTGGCATTTTCTAAAAATTTGATGAAAATTTTTATTTGCGTATATATATATTTAAAAAAAAGATTTTATCAGGTATATATTTCCATACCTTTGAGTTGGAAACTGAGCCTCCCTGACTCTTTGCTATGTAATCAGCTTCTGAGCTATTGATGAATCTATGATGAGCAGGATCGTCTGAAAGAATTAAAAACCACAATCCTGACCAGATCGCAGCAATAGCACCTGGTGCATAGAAAGCCCATTTCCAACCGCATTTTTCGATCAAGTATCCCGTAAAACTCCACGTGACCACAGTGCCAAAAGTTCCTCCCAGTAAAGCGGAGACAAATTTTCCTTTCTCATCAGGTGGGGCCCAGCGCGCGATTAGATTGTGTAGAGCCGGATACAATACACCCTACGATAACAAAAGTATTAAAATTTGTCTATCGCAATTAAAAATATTGTATGAGTATTAATTTAATATTGTACATTTTATAACCAATCAAAAATGGTGTAAACTACTTTGTTTTGAGTCAACATCAACAATTTCCAAAAAAATGTCTGAGTGGAAAGAAATGGAATAAAAACAATCAAGGTTTTGTGAAATTTATCATTTTGAATAACAATTTCCATTCAAGGACATACCTGTCGAATCTATGCTTGACGATCTGCTTGTCGTGTATAATTTTTACCTAATTAGTATTTTAAACAATACATTAAGCAAATTCTGAAGTTTGCATGATGGGAAAATTGTTATTTTAACACTAAACCTGCCGACAATTCGTGTATATCTATAACTACCGCGTGCGGTCAAATTGACCTACAATTAAAAAGCTATCTATTTCATTATTTAATTCAGATAATTATTGATTTTTATCCAATCTATATAAAATAAAGAAATTTTCATGATTTTTTTCATAAATTTATTTTTATATAATTTCTAAATAAATGATAAGAAAAAAACGAATAAAATTAAATATTTATACAGAATTCTATATGCATAAATAATATACTTTATTTGGCTTTCTCACATCGTTTGCCAATTATTTTAGTCTGAAATGTTTGTTTGAAGCAAATATATTATTTGTTTCCGAACTTTCACAAAAAAAAATTGACAGAGTTTTTCATCCACACAAAGCCGAACTTATGGACAGTGTTCATAAAAACTTGAATTAGTTGAGATTTTAAATATGCATCGCCGAGGTAAAAAATTATATATAATAACTTTTACCCGTCGTTTCTCTATGCATTTTTACGCTTTTATAGAACTAGGATCAAAATGTTGAAATATACCAACTACAAATTTTCGACTTCATGTTACATTTTTTATTAATCTGGTCTACCACATTTTTAACAAACAAAGTACTAACACAAATTCTAATAGTTTTCAAAACACTTTTGCTGCTTTCTTCTATTTTTATTGTATAATCTTTCAAACTAGGGACAAGCAATTTTTCGATTTACTTTTTTACACGCTGAGAGTAATAAAATCAGATTTATACAAATTTCTTTAAAGTTTGTGAATGAATTTATTAGTTTTAGAACTAATCCAACTATCCAGTTAAAGATTTGAACCATCTCTCCTCTTGTCATTTCTTAAATAGAGAAATCTACTTATTATATATTTGTTATTGACTTCACTCTCCTCCCAGAACTTTATTCTAAAGTCTGGTATATTTTGTATAAAACATTATTTTCTACCGGTCAAATTGACCGACTGCGGTAGTTAGTCCCACATAACAATTTTTTTTCGGAAAATTGAAAAAATAATTAATAAAATCAAAGAATGAAGAAAATATTATTAGTATGTTTTAAGAATTGCCATATAGTTTTGTAATAGTATTTTAACGTTTAAAAACAACTAACAAGTTATACACAAAGTTTGAAATGGTCATTTTGACCGGCGTTGGCAGGATTAGTGTTAAAAGTGGCGATTACAATAGATAATATTCATATTATATTTGACAATGTTTAATTATATTTAACCATTTTAGTGGCAGTTACATAAAAACTGCTCCAGGTAGATTGTTGAGACATTTATTATGAAATCTAATTCCTTATGCGCAATGTCATCAAAATTATTTACCTTAATCGCTATATAGATACCTATAAGCGTGGATTTTTAAGGTACGAGATACTACAAGATTAAAATAGTAATAGTAATTAAATAGGGATAAGAATTTTTCTTTTATTTTCTTTTTTTTTTCTTTTTATATATTTGCACTTATTCCACCCTGAACAGTAACAAATTTTTGGTCGTACTTAAAAATGTCTAAATCGAATGCTATTGATAGGGCGTCCGGGAATGATCACCACATGATATAAAACAATATTTTGGACAGTAAAAGAAAATTGAATAGCCTTTCTAATGCCGCTAATTAAAAATTAGTCCAAACAACCGCGCTACCCGAAAATTCAAAACAAAAAATTATTTTTACTTTTTCATGCACTAAAAATAATTATTAAACAATATTTGTTATTGATAATATAGTACACACCGATGTGAATAGAATCCCGTTATTTGTTTGTCGATATCCATTACAGTTACGACAAAAAACGACTTTGAACAAAGGGGCCACTTTCATATATTTTCAATGATATCTCGGTCAAATTATGAGCTACGGATTTGAAATTCGGAAATACCTATAAAATGGTATCAAAATCATTTGAATACCAGGGTGGGGCCAATTCTGTATGGAAACACGCCCATACCCTTTAAATTGTTGTTAAATAATTTGCACTGTGCAGGCTATTGTGCTATGAAGTCGAATTATATATTTATGGCCCCAGTAACAGATAACAGATATATTTAACACCAAGTTGTAATTATTAGTAGACATTTTTCTTTTCTTTGGGTTTCGTTGAACTATTTTCAATTTATGTATTTATTCCTCGACTTGTTCTAAACATTCTACTTAATTTATACTTTAAATTAATTTTTAAAATGTACTATTTTATGCATCAGTTATGTTACCGCAAGAAATCCAAGTGCAAATCTGGCGGCTATAAGAGCACCGTAATGCCAGGCTGCTGCTGCTGGGCAAATCGTTGTAATCGCGGCACTTAAGAGCACGCTGAATCCCACAAGACGCGTTCCACCAAAATAGTCGGCTAATATTCCTCCAGGAAGCGAAGTTACTAGATAACCCCAGAAGTAACTGCCCAGCACCATTCCTTGCGTCTCAGATGACCATGCATAACGTTCTCCGTACTGTCAAAAATGGCATAAAAAATATTTTTTTCAATAAATAAAAAGATGAAATGTAAAGAGTAACGAGCATTTTCTCAATGCCATGATTTCCCTAACTTGGAATGGTTATTTTGGAATTATTAGTAGAGATATTTATTTTTCTTCCATGACTTTGAAAATGAAGTTTTATCAAGTCACAGTTTTCGATTGAGAAAAATTTCTTTTGGTTTTTTTAATGTAATCTTTTATTTTCAGTATAGACAAATGAGTTGATGTACAAACTCAAATTCGTACAAAATTATGAATAATCTGCAATAATTGTGGATCAACACTTAATCAAGTTTTCTCAAAAATATTTTTTCTAAGAACTGAAAATGAAGCATCTATCTTTTAGATTTATAATAACACATTAAAAAGAGAACTTTAGAAAAATGTAAATAATTAATATGCATATTAAGTTTGTTTTAATTTACTAAATTTATTTGAATTTAAATATACGATAACTTGCAGGAGTTAAATAGGTAGGATGCGAAAGAAGGACAATAAAATTTATCAAATAAAATCATCTCGACCGCAACTAATACACCTTATTATTAGTCCCATTTTTTAGGCCAAAACCGGGACGTTTTACTAATCCAGGATATAGGGGGCGGAGGCTCTTTATGCTAAATGACTTAAGTATGATTTAAAATAGTAAAAACTCTATATATGTCCTTAACATAATAAAAATTAGTTTCTATAAATGAATAATTTTTTTTTCAAATCAACGTTACTGACTTTTAAAAGGACTTTAATATTCGATTAAATGTTATATTTTTCTAATTTTCTATATGTTGTTTTCGCTTTTAAGCCTTGTATAAAATTCTGTTGAAATTGCTTTATAATAAACTTATTGTTAGTAAAAATAAACACTGGTGTCAGGCAATTGAAAAGTTTGTAATTGCAATTTTTGCAAATTTTCGTAGAAATAAAAATTAAAAAAAAAGTTTGAAATTATTAATGTGAGATGCTATTTAATATTTTAACACATTGGAATATTGCATTCGGAAATTTTCTTATTCATAATGCCGTTTTATGTAAGCATATTCTTTGTTTATATCATTTTCAGATATTTGGGGAGTAGTTGTAACGTTTTAACCTATACTTTTAAAAAACCTGGGACAATCCGGAACAAAAAATCTAAATCCGGGACAAATAATGATTCTAGAGAAACCTGGGACACAAGGTGGAAATGCAGGATTATCCCGGCCAAACCGGGACTAAGGGTCACCTTACCCACCTTACTAATGAGCATAGTTATTATTAGGTATTTATGTAGTATATAGATATAATATAGTAGTATAAATTAGAATACAATATAATAAAAATACTTTAGAAATACGTTATAATACATACATAATAGATTTATGTTGCATTTTGAAATGAACTCTTTTATAGTGTCACATGTAATAAATAAATTAGTTTTTCATAACCCTTTCCAAAGAACCAAGAAACGTAAAGTTAATGAGAAAACTTGTTCATCTATAAGAACGGAATCGTTTCAGTAGAAATACTTTCTTAAATTATAGTAATATTTGGTACTCTTTGCAGAAATACTGAAAAAATTTAAAGTGTGACTGAAATTGAACAATATCCTTTGACGCACATGTAATTATAATGCAATCACTCGGAAAGATATTAAGTAATTTAATTAAAACACAGAAAATTATGATTTTATAGATTATGGATACGTAAAAGTTTTATTTTGTTTGATTCATAGGATTTTTACATATTCACAGAATTAAGGCGATGATAATTAGTACGATAGAATGGGGTTCACAATGAAAACAGTAAAAAATCAAAATAAGGATGCATTATACTTGAGGTGAGATCTAAAGGCATGTGCTTCGTTTGGTGCATGGTTTGGTTAACGCTTACTATCAATGTTTAAGGTAGGTGCAGTAGTTTAAGATGACAAGTGTTTATAAAGAATGAACTTTTTTACCAAGAGATTTGTACACAAAAGCTTCTTCTAAAGTGACACATGCATCTATCTAGTGCGTTCAAGTACCATTAGTACTATTGATGTACTTGACGTACTATTGAGTGAAAAGAGTTCATTCTCGTTGCTAATTCCTAACAAAAATATTTTTATTAGTAAAGAAATAGCATGCATTGCTGTTATTTTTACTTACATCCGGAAGTTTATCTTCGTGCGTGTCGTATGTTTTGTTGAGGAATGATGTTTGTTCCTGGGCCATCGTGTAGTTAGCACACTCTGGACGCGTCCGTGTTCCTTCCCCATTTGTACTAGGCTGCACCATGGCAATAATATTTATCGACATATTTACTCTCATCATGTAGCTCATCCATGTTGCAGTGAATATCATTGCTCCGACACCCAGTCGAACTGGAATGTGGTCTGTTTGACGTAAAATTTTGAGAGTATATAGAATAAAGTTCAATATGATGCTTTATAAATATTTGGGCTATGGTAAAACACATTTTTTTGTAAACTCTTGCAATTATTAATCGTATTAAAATGGAATTAACAGCATACGTATTTAGCCCCTTAAGTTACAATTTTTATATTCGAAAATGTTAGGCCAAAATTGTACAGGCTGGCGCAGCGTTCGTGACTATTTTCTCACGCAGTGTACTGTTTATCACAAAATTAAAAGTATTTAAAAGTATTTTAGAGTTTTGTATAAATAAATCTTTTGTAATACTTGCGATCACAGTACCGGGCATTTGCATCTGGCCGGATTTGCATAGCCCAATTTGCGTGCCCGATTTGTAAGTTAAGGGGTTAAATTTCAATTAATTTTGTTTGTTGTTTTTTTTGTTATCTATTTATTGATTCTTCCGTATATCTGCCAAAACTGTTTTACCGGAGTTTAAAGAGATTTTTTTGAAACCTATGTATAATTATATTTCCTTATATCTATCTCTATAGTACATAAAATTGACTAAAATACATTTTTTATTTTTCTTTGAAAAGAGAATCTTTGCTACGTTATAGTATTATATAAAAGCTACATGAACTATTTATAAACTACATATTATTTTTTAGCAAGTTTATTGTAATAAAAAATACAATAATTTTCCCAATAATAATCTTATAATAATATTAAAATAAAGGGTTTTTTATATATTAATGTTGAAACGTTTAAAATTAAAATTAAAATTAAATTCATAGCTAAATATTTAAATATATTAGAGTTTCTTTAAATATATTAGATTACGTGATTTTTTTATACAATAAACGTTATGCATATTTAATAAATATTGTTATAATAAATATTATTTATTCAATAAATGAACTTTAGTAAAGAAGACTTATGAAATCTTTGGCACATGTTTTGCGGTGGTTTATTGATTTTATTGTTAATTTTTCGAAAAAGTTTGTTTTTGATAGAAAGTATGTAAGAACGCACTTAAATAAATCTGTTTTTATGTTTTTAAGGGTATACATTTTGACTTGACGTGACATTAATATGCTACACTGTCGTAATAAGTAAATATATAATCAAATATGATCATAACATTAACAAGATATAAGTGGCATTTTGCCTTAAGGCAAGTTGCATCGACATAATTATCAAGAATAGATATTTGGCTATTTAAATAAAATTTTCAACGGTGTATTTAAAAAATGAAGTTTACGCTATCATTCGCAACTAATCAGTGTGATTTTCTTAATGAATTACTATCTTTTAAACAAATTTATAATATCTGTAATTGTATTAATTATAGTTAAATAAAAGCTATTTTTATATTTTTAAGGGTATACATTTTGATTTGCGACTTTAATCTTGTTGATTGTAAAGGTGGTATTGCAATACAAACAATAATTATTTTTAAATTATATGCTACACTGTCGTAATCAATAAATATCATATCATAAAATATGAACATAACATTAACTAAGTACATGTGGCAGTTTGCTTTAAGGCAAGTTGCATCGACTTAATTATTAAGAATAGATATTTAGCTATTAAATTAAATTTTCAACGGCGTAACTCAAAAATAACCCGCACGAGAAAATAAAAAAATAGTATTAAAAAAATACATTTAATTTTAATTTTGATTAAAAATAAATTAGTTTTGAGTTTAATTTGTTAGAAACCATAATTATAGTAATCGCAAAAAAATCGTACTTATTCTACGGGAAGTTAAAACTATGTTAAAAAAGTTTTAACTTTAATTTTAGTTAAAATTAAATTAGTTTCAATCTTAATTTGCTTAAAACTATTATTATAGTAATCGCAAAAAAATTGAAAATGAAGATTTTTGTATATCTTTACGTTTTAAAGTTTTCTGAACATTTTAGCATATCTTAGAAAAAATGAATCTATGTGTGAGTGCGTGTGTGTGTATTATGTATGTATGTATGTACGTACGGACACAAATTCTTGTACGCGATTTCGAGAAATCATTTGAATGATTCAAAAAATATTCGATTCCTATTGATGTGAAAACGTGCTGATTAGTTTTTGGTCAGGGCAGGTTCAACCGTTTGTAGATACGAGGCAAAAGCTGCCAGAGAAGCGAGTTTGGAAATTCATATAAAAAATAAAAAAAATGCCATTTGGCGTCGCATCAATGATGAGAACAAATTTTGTTTACATTTCTATGGGTTCTGTACCAATGTTAATTCGTGAGACTGCGACGTAGCGCTTACGCGCTTCCCTTTTTCGTCTCTTCGCAGCTAACGCAGCACGATTGCTTTGAAAAAAAAAATCAAAGCTTTCAAAATATTTCAAAGTATAAAAAAAATCTAATTTTTCAAAAAAGCTAATGTTTTTGAAAAATTTCTAAGTTCTTAAAAATCTAATTTTTGCAAAGTTTTTCTCAAAAATTTTATTTTCAGTACGGGAAGTTACATCTAGCAATTTGCCTTAAGACGCGATGCCATGTACCTCTAAATTTACGATCGACCAGGCCGATCTTTTTGAAAACAGTCCAGGATTTTTTGCGAAATTTTTTGCATGAATATTTTGGCATTTTTCTATTAATTCTAAAGAAATGGCGCGGTCGATCAACGCGAAAAACTAATCAACATTAGTCTTTAAGAAGTTTTATAGATTGTATTTTTCAATTGTTGTAGCTATTTTTAGTCGGATAATAAGTCGGATTTTTTGCCGTGAACAAACTTTCCGTTCAGGAAGTTAATAATATGATATCTTGGTGTCATAAATTAACCCTTTCCACTTGGATGCCGCCGCTCCGGTGGCAAAATACATATCAATCTCGCAATTTGCGAATGGAAAGGGTTAATAATGTAGTAAGAAATTAATAATTATTAATAATAATTTTATTGCCCATTTAAAAATTCTTAGATTTCTTCATTATAAAAAATTCTCTGTGAGTGATATCTTATTTGATTTGGACAATAATTTTATTATTAATTAAATGATTGAAGTATTTTGAAAATTCGTGAAAAATGACATCTTTTATTACGGCTACGGCTTCCTTGTAGCGCATTGTTACAAAAGTAAAGATTCTGGATTTTGCACTAGTTCTTGTAATTCCGCGTCTATTTCCGCGTAGAACTTTGTCACCGGCGCATTGTTCTGTGAGTTGTATTGAAAGTTTAGAAGCTCAGAATCAGAATCATCGAGATCGATTTCATTTCTACTCATGTGTTGAATGCCTGAATTATAGACATCTCTGTGTATATCTAGTTTAATTCTTGTCTGTTCTAATATTGGTAGCTTTTTTACTGATTTGCTAATCGTTAGAAAAAAATAATCAGTGTCATCTAAATCGGGATCATTTTTATATTTCTTGAGACTTGGATCATCGTGTAGCTGAACGAAGTTGTAAGTTTCTTGAAATTCGGATGGAGATTTGATTCCATCTGATAAATCGAAAGTCGTAATAGTTATAGCAGCTGTGTCGCTTTGGTCATCATCCGATGAATATTCTTCTTGTTGGTCAGATTGAGAACTGGACGGTCCTGGATTAAAATTTGTATATTCTGTTCTCATCTGCATATAATCTTTGAGAAAAGAAATTTCTTGTTCAAATTTCCATGGAGTGTTAATTTCACTCTTTGTTCTTCTCCTTTTAAGTGCACTGGAATAAGCATTGCGCAATCTTTTCCAATTATCCTTACAAGTTTTTGCTAAAATAAAAATGATCAATAAATATCCTTTTTATTTTGTAAAATGTTCATATTCAAGAATCTATAAAAAATCGTTTATTTACTGACTAAATAAAATATTAGATTAATTTTACACGCGACATATCAAAATCGTAATAAATTTCTTCGGTGGTATTGCGAAGATTTTATAGCCAATTTTTACTTTTTTATGTGTATACATTTTATTTTAATTTAACCATTTTATGACAACTGACTATTTATTTTATTTTTTTATAGACATAAAACCTATGCAGTGTAAAAAGCTTTTGAATGTTTATTATAACTTCTACGCTAGAGCAAAATATTATAATCTATTATTTAAAATTAGAAAAATAAATATCTGAAACGTAAATATTTCTTTGGATTATCTGTAAGTTTATCGATATAGAAAGAACTGTATAAATGAAATTATGACTCCATATTATTCCATGTCTATATATCAAACATTAATATTTAATGTTATTTAAAATTGTCTCTGAATTCGAAATAATAAATATTGATAAGATTCGCGATAATGTTTTTGCAAACGCCTATGTGCAAATTGATATCAAACAGAATTCGCTACCGTTGTTATTATTATTTTTTCTCTCAAATTGATAATGAAATTGACATTTATTCAAATCAGAAAAATAGACTTTTAAGCAAAACTATATGATAATATTAATTATTATTTAGTATAAATAATTATTAAATTAAAAACGGTGTACATTTTTTAATAATTTATTTGCGTAAACATTACTTTATAAATGATAACTAAATAATTTAGTTAAAAATAATAAAAAGCTTCCATATGAACCAAAAATTTAGGCATTGACATATCATTGGTTTTGCTCTTATATTTATAATTAAGGTGACCATATTTTTTAGGCCAAAACAGGGACGGCAAATTGTTGTTATGATAATCCTGGACGAAGGCGGGGGATGTATTGTGTTAAATACTTAAATATAGTTTCAATAACAAATACTATTCATTTATTTAAAGATACAATAAAAAACTTTTTTTAAACAAATTGATTTTTTATGCAGATTTACTGACTTTTAGTAGTAAGGTGACCATATTTTTTTGCATGAAATCCGGGACGGATTAGAATGTGTGTTTTTCGGATCAAATTTTGCAGTTGAAATATATTTAAAAACGTATTGGCAATCAAAACATTTTTAAAAATCCGGGACAATCCGGGACAAAACACCTAAAACCGGGACAAATATTGCTTTTAGAAAAAGCCGGGACGCAAGGCGGAAAATCGGGACTGTCCCGGCCAATCCGGGATGTA